TTGCCATCCATCTATCTATATCTATATATATATCTATATATATATATATATTGGTATATTTTATACAAATCGCCTGTAATGAATGTGCGAGGTTAAGAGGGTTGAAAAACGTTACTTGAATGTCTACGGCCATACCACGCTGAAAGCACCGGTTCTCGTCCGATCACCGAAGTTAAGCAGCGTCGGGCCCGGTTAGTACTTGGATGGGTGACCGCCTGGGAATACCGGGTGCTGTAGGCTTCTTTTGTTTTGCTATTCACATTTTTAACTAAAAAAAACAGTATTTCCATTCTATTTGTTCATTTTTGCGTTCGTTGCTGTCCATGTTTTTATTTCTTACTTTTGTTATTTATATAATTTTACACAGTGTCTAGATAACTCGGATGAAATCGACTGTGGAACGTGTGATTTTGAGAAGGCAATGTGTGGCTGGTATGATATCAGCACAGGGCTATATGGCTGGAAGCACAAGCAGGCTGGTGGCTCGACAGGGCCTGGCTCAGACCACACATCTGGAGCAAGCGGGTAGGAACTCCCTCTCGGTCCAACCATGTCAATTCTATGGTGCTGTTTTATTGTATCCCCCGCGACGAAGTCGGCGGGGATAATATGGTTTCATGTCTGTCCAGCCGCCGCCGCCACCGCAGACACTCCCTTCCGCTCTATAACTTGACCCCTAATTGACTTAGCGTGACCAAACATAGTCTACTTACACATCTTCGGGAGAAGGTGCGCACCGTACCAAAACCAGGTCACTACGACCTTTATTTCACCTTTACCTTGACCTTGATCATATTTTCCTTCTGCTCTCTAACTCAGCCCCTAATTGACCTAGCGCGACCAAACTTGGTATACTTACACATCTTGGGGAGAAGGTGTGTCGCATATACCGAAACCAGGTCACTGCAACCTTTATTTGACATTGACCTTGACCTTGACCTTGACCTTCATCATATTTCCCTTCCGCTCTATAACTCGGCCCCTAATCGACCTAGCGCGAGCAAACTTTGTATACTTACACATCTTGGGGAGAAGGTGTGTCGCGTAATAAAACCCTTAAGGCAACCAATTTTAACATACTTGCACATCTCAGGCAGATGAGTTGTGTAACAAACCGTTGTCGTTGTGACTTATTTAACTTTACCTACCTTCTACGTCCTTACAGAGATATTTCATTCATACTAGATCACAAGGGATACATGTAGTTGGCGACAACTGCCCTTTCTTGTTATACTGCCGAGTGCCCATCATTTCTTATGGTACTGGTTACGTGTAGGATAAACTTCAATGAAAACACACACACTCAGTTTTTGCACTTTTTTCTGGCAGTAGTTGCTGGAGCCATACTTGTAGTTGCAATTATGTGATTTCTCACAGATTAATCATCACATGCGTTCTTCACCTAGCACATACCTTCACCGTCAGTCATGTATGCTTGCCGCCATTTAATGAAGACTCGTGTATCAAATTTTCATGTAATGTACGTCCAAGACAAATTTTTCATTTATCAAAGATTGTAAGTGTATTTGAAAAATAAATTTATATATTTTGTATTAAATGATGCTGACACCATGCATAATGTAAACATGCTGTAATGACTCCATTTAACTGATGGGTCACCTAGCCAACAAACTCCAGAAACGTCCTGTTATTCACCATGCAGATACTACATGCACGTGGAAACGGGAGTTGGTGTGACGCATAACTATGCGGCACTCAGTTCTCCGGTGTACGGAGAGGCGGCCTCCACGTGCATCATGAAGTTCTGGTACTACAAAGTCGGCGGGCAAGACGAGACCACGTTGGAGGTATACGCGGGCTCGCCCGGTAACAAGGGAACACGAATTTGGTAAATACTATTAAAATATACTTAAAATTGTTTTGTATGGTGTTCGGTGGTTATTCGTGCCAGTGCTCGAAGTGCATATTACTTTTGTTATTTAATTTTACATTGTCTCTGTCGATTTACCATTGGTTTTGTGTGTGTTTTAATATTAAAGGTCCACTTGACTGCAACTGCGAAAGCTTTATTTGAATGACCGATTTTTATGCATAACTGTCTGCTTGCAACTTCCAAACTCCTTCAGAGTGATAATTGATCTAGCAATTAGGCATGATTGATAGGTCAGATGAACTCTAGCCAATCACTGTTGCGATAAGATGGTCTGAAAACGATTCCTAGCAACAAAGTATAGCGATGTCAATATTTTCGCCTCATGCATCAAAAACCACACAAACCTTACCAGGCGACTCTGTATACTATGGGTTTGCCTGACTGACTTAGCAGCGATATATCCAAGGAAGCGTGGTTGTAAAGCTTGGGTGGTTAGGTAACCTAACCGATTGTTGTTGCAGGTACGAGTACGGAGACAATGGCAACCAGTGGGTGCAGGCCACTGTGCAGGTGGGTCGTCGCAGCAGCGGATTCAATCTGCAGGTATACGGCACGCACACCAACAGCCATGACGACATCGCTATCGACGACGTCACGTTCGCCAACTGTGATGTCGGCGGCGGCGGCGGCCAGTGCAAGCCGGGCCAGCGGCAGTGCACGAACGGGAACTGCGTAGAGGAGACACAGTGGTACGTTCACGCGGGCGCAGAATTTTTGCGATGCCAGCGCCGAATGTTGTGGCGCTCTTCGGATGATATCTAGGTTCAAATATACTGATGTTTTGCATTGGAAGAGCTGTGGAGGCGATGGTACGTTTACGATTTTAGAAATTTGATTGAATTCGCCCACTTGGAGTATACAGGAATGTGCTCACAGTGGGTGATGGTGGGCAGAACAGCTCATCGCTACACTGTAGGGACACTGTAGTGCAGTTCTGTGCCTAGCGTTTATGCTCCTGGCCCTCAATGGCATGAATTGTATGAAGTACCATATGTGTTATTTCAAACTACAATAGAGCAAGTATCATTCTGCTAAACGTCACTTACAAATCATGCTAACAAATCCACATATAATCATATTTGTTCTAATGATATGATATTGTATAACCTGTAATAGATACCTTATTGTATCTTATGTTGCTATAAGTTATAATTTATCAGATTTTTTCTCCACGAAAAAGACTGTTTTCAGTACATGCACTTGTATTTGAATTATACGTGCAATAAAGATTTAATAATAATAATAATAATAATAATAATAATAAGTAAGATATGATTTACAGGTGTATTCAAGCTTGTGTGCGTTTGTGACAGGTGCGATTTTTCGGACGACTGTGGGGACAGATCGGACGAGACGGCCTGTGACTTGTACGTGGAGCGATGTGACTTCCAGGCGGACTTCTGCAACTGGACAAACGACACCAGCGTGCTGCTGAGGTGGGAGCGATACGCAGGCCCTCGTCAATGGTACATGACAGGTAAGTGCATGCACACAGACGTATATACCGTATATATATATATATATCAAGAGTGGATAATAGAGAAGAGTATGTCAGGGTTTTAACAGCGTTTTGCATAGTTTTGAACTGGTAACTAATCTATCAATATGTCAATAAATATATTCAAACTTTACCTTGTTTTCGTCTATGATTCTCCCTTATTCATATGACACCACCAATTTACCTGAAAATCGTATGTGTTCTTCAAAAAAGTTAGTTGAATACGACACGGTTTCCCACAGTTATCACGCATGGATACATCTTTCCGACCGAACTTTGTTATGGGATTAGTGTTCTATTGTCTATGACGGAACTTTGGGGGTCGTATGGGATATTAGGCATCGAATTGTATTCAGCGTGCAGCGTTTCCAGCGTGCTAAAAATAAATGCGCCTCACGGCCAGCTAGCTAGCAGCTGATTTCCTTACGGCCCCCAGCGTACCGTCATAGACAATAGAACACTAGTCCCATAAACAAAGTTCGGTCGGAGAGATGTATCCATGCGTGATAACTGTGGGAAACCGTGTCGTATTCAACTAACTTTTTTGAAGAACACATACGATTTTCAGGTAAATTGGTGGTGTCATATGAATAAGGGAGAATCATAGACGAAAACAAGGTAAAGTTTGAATATATTTATTCACATATTGATAGATTAGTTACCAGTTCAAAACTATGCAAAACGCTGTTAAAACCCTGACATACTCTTCTCTATTATCCACTCTTGATATATATATATATATCGTAATGCTACCATGCATGATGTAGCGGTCCGAGCAATTATTAGCTTATAGATTTTGTTTACATAGTTATATTACTTTATGGATGTAACTATAGACAAACAATTGCAACATACAAGGGACAACAGAGATTTGATGCTAGGCATGGATCGCCAAGCACATGTAACTATTTGCCAAAATTTTAGTTGTGATTTTGAGATGTAATATCGTTGTTCAGTCCTGCTACACGAATACAGCACTTGATAAATGAATGATTATGAAACATAAAAATATATATTGTTTAGGCTTTTAGTGAAAACTCAATTATAATTAAACCAGAATTGTTTAGGCCTTGCATTATTACATGAATATTAATGATATTGTTTAGGCCCTGATGGGGATCATACATATGGCAACACATCTGGATATTTCACCTACCTGAATACATTCAATTACCACCAGGAGGGAACGCCTGGGCGCATGAATGGCCCCATATTCCAGCCCTCTATAGGCTGTACAATGCGATTCTGGTCAGTTGTATAACTGTTTTTTTTTGTCCTAAATTGTTGTCGGAGAGAATTCCAACTTTAGGATTATTCTGGCAGTGCCTGATATCTTCATGCTAGGGTATCAATCATGAAGGTATTACATGTTTATGTTATGTTGTAGGGTACGTACGTATCAATCATAAAGGTATTACATGTTTATGTTATGTGATAGGGTATTGGTTCATGCAGGTATTACATGTTTATGTTATGTGATAGGGTACCAGATCATGCATGTATTACATGTTTATGTTATGTGATAGGGTACCAGATCATGCATGTATTACATGTTTATGTTATTGTGGTGTGATGTGGTGTTGATCATGCAGGTATCACATGTTTGGACAAGATATCAACGCACTGAACATCTATGTGAGGTCATACGACAGTGACCCACTCTACAGGGTGTGGAGTAAGACGAGTCAACAGGGAGACATCTGGCACAGAGCAGAAATCAATTTCGACAAAATACAGAACAATTACCAGGTAACAGTCACCACTTGCACCATACATAGTACCACGAACATATCCATACAGCAGTCCCCACTTTATATGTCAGGCCTCGGATAAGTGCATGGGCGCATTGAATAAACGACGTGGGTTCTTGAACAACCGTCCTTACGCACGTTATTTTAATCAGGTAATAGGAACAGTGCCTCGGTTAAATTTTCTGCAGAACAAACTACTGAACGTTGTGAATTAAACGATCCTAAACGTAAAAGCACTCTGGTAATTCTTGGCTTTTCAGCGGATTCTGGATATGATAAGCTCACAAAACATTTTTTATAGCAAAAATTATTTGTATTACACGCTGCGTGTATTGTGCAGTGAGTTTTTAGTACAGTCGATTATAGAAGGTGCGTAAGGCACATAATCAGGACCATGGCTTAATCGGAAAATTATCTGACCTGTCTTGATGAAGGTGGCCAAAAGGGGGCAAATGTGTATACATGTTTTAATGAGTATTACAGAGGTCACATCGCAACATTCACCCATGTCGTCTGATCTCTCACCTTGCCTCTACGTGCAGGTTGTCATCGAAGGCTTGATGGGCCCTAGCTACCAGGGAGACATTGCCGTTGACGATATCTCGTTCACACCCGCGTGCATCGTCATTCCCGGCGCCACCGTCCCGCCGATTGCTCCCACCACTCACGCCCCCGTCACTAAGCCAGGCGGCTGCAACCCCGGTGACTTCTACTGTACGGATAACATCACCTGCATCGCTGCAAATAAAAAGTGCGATTTCACGCGCAACTGCGCCGACGGCTCGGACGAGGATGAATGCCCAAACACCTGCGACTTTGAAGTATGCATGTTATCGTGAATGGCGAGAGATCTAGAGGGTCTTGCCATACTTGAGACAGTTCCTATTTAACCATTGCCACGTATTGCCAACTATTTTTTCTGTGACTTTTACTGTATGCAACGTGTGATATATATTTGAACTCCATCATAATTTTAATGTAGACTAGGAAAGATAGCCATAACTTTTACTTTCTGTGTCAGAGCGATTCTCTGTGTCGTCACGTTGATTAGCAGATGGCAGTATTGATACAAAGACTGCCAGGTGAACAGTTAAAACTGACAGGAGTATGATTTACGTTTTCCTTGATCATAACTGTATCGTTACATTACCATACACGCACATATTCACTACTCGGCAGATGGACACCTGCAACTGGGAGGACCACATCAACGATAACCTGACGTGGGTGTGGGGCACAGGAGCAGAGTCGAACCCGTACTACGGTCCCTACACTGACCACAATGGCGTCTCGTCTGGCCACTTCATGTTCCTTGTTATTGCGGACACGTACAACCTCTACTACCAGACGGCGTCACTCATCAGTCCAACGTACAGCCGCGCGACCGACACATGTCTGCTCAGCTTCTGGTGGTTCCTCTCCTACAGCTACATCGTGGTCGAGGTTAGACACACGCCTGCTGGTTAGACGCGATCTCAATTACTAAATACTGCAAATCAGAGCATTGATCTAACACGAACGTGTCTGTCCGTGTACCATCTTGATTTTAGTTCTATGGCATGGCTCACTGATGCCTTCATAAGAGCATCACCACTGGGAATATAGGGTCGATTACTATTTTTTTGGTGGCATTTTTTAGAAACCTTTACCTAGACCATAGAAGTTGTCTCGACTGGGTATTACAGATGTTGAAGATTGTCATTTTCTGGTTAGATGAATGGATGTTACTCCATGTAACAAATCGATTTCCTACAGTCTATTAAACAACGAAAGTAATCCATGCAGTGGCTGTTACATTTGGTAAAAAGACGCATGTATTGTAATGAACATATCTACAAAAACTTAACTACTCAAAGCTGTCTATGCATACATGCTATACACACGCCCACTAGAGTGACCAAAGCAGCGTAGCGCTGGCCCAGCATTTCAACATGGCGTCTCGTCGCGACCCCCGCAGGTGAAGGTTGAGTACGACGGCTCGGTGACGTCGCTCTTCAGGCCGATGAACGGTTTCACGTCGTCGACGTGGTACCAGCAGACGGTCGGCGTCGGCGCGCGGCACGGAGACTTCCGCCTGCACATCGCCCTCACTCACTCGTCGATGATATCGTACGGCGCCGGTCTCGACGACATTCAGCTGACGGACTGCGCGTTCCCGGCCGCCGCGTTGTCGTGCCCCGCGGACAAGTTTTGGTGCCGGGAGTCGCTGGCATGCATCGATAAGAACAGGTGTGTGGCTATAGTGATCTAGTAACACGTGTAACTGGTACGAGAACAGGTGTGTATAGTTAGCAATTGATTAACAGGTGCAAAATGCACGAGAACAGGTGTGTCAATACTAACATAACAATTATAACAGTTGTGAGTATCTTTTGTTGGCTGTTCATTTTACACGTATATTCACATTTTTTATCTTTTGGGCATTGCACACTGTACTTCCGAGTCTTATGCCCCAAGCACTTCTTGAATCTTGAATCTAATTAATATGCCGTTTATTTCAAATTAATAACTGTACATAGATGCAGAATAATGTAACCCTTACAGTGCAGCATTACGTTATGGTATTTATAACCATGCATTGATGAAATAACAACCCTGCCTAACCATATGTCTATGCAACATTACATTATAGTGTGTGTGCGCGCGCGTGTGCGCATGTGTGCTTGCAGGTTGTGTGACATCACAGATGACTGTGGAGACAACAGCGATGAGACCGACCAGTGTTCCAACTACATCAGGGACAACTTCGAATCAGGACTCGGTGAATGGATGAATACGGTAAGGGTTAATTCATACTTGGTAAAATAATACGTAGCTACGAAGAACAAATTGGAGCGAGGTTGTGGTACATTATTATCAAGAAGAAATGGATGGAAGAACGGGACGTAGCTTAATGGGAATCAATTAATGGCAGAACGTTGCATATCTTTGTAAAAAAAAAGACTACTGGAAACGAGAACGTGGTATATATCTTTGTAAAACACACTTTAAACGAAAAATGGTGTATCCTTGTTATGAAACTAATTCAAGGGAGAACATGGGCATCTTTATTATAAGACCAAATCAATATAAACGCACACAAACGTGGTATATCTTTTCTGGTAACTGTGGCTTTTCAGGTTGAGGGAGATGACTTTGACTGGACCAGACTCTCCGGCGTGACTCCCAGCCTATACACTGGACCCTCGCGTGACCACACCCTCGGCACCAGCAAAGGATACTTCCTGTATATAGAGACTACAGGTGAGAACATGTTGTATGGTGGACCTACAGTAAAAATAGAAACGCAAATTAAATAATTTTGATAATTACCCTGTTTTGACCGTTGGCAGTCTACACTCAATGAATTAAAAAGATATATAAATATATT